GTTTACGCGCGTTTGTTATAGCTAGTATATTCCTATTTTTGTATAGTATTAATAATTATATATGTATTTTGAAGATAAATATGGATATTGCATGATATTGTTATTGAAGATATTTGTTTCTTTTGGTTGTCTTAAATGTTTCATATAAAAAATACTTCAATCCATTTAGTTTTTTTGGTATTAAATAACATTGGCATTAAAGATATTACGATTTTGAGGATAAAGAAAGATATTGGATAACATTAGTATTGAATATATTTTAATAATGCAACAAAAATATTGATTGTTTTATAATAGTGGAAGCTGTCTTTTGGAAAAATTTTTTGGTATTGGGTAATTTTGGCATTAAAGATATTTGGATTTTGAGGATAATAAAATATGATATTGGATAACATTGGCATTGAATATATTTCGATATTGAAAAAAAAATATTGACTGTTTGAGAATAGAGGATGCTGGCTTTTGGAAAAGTATTTAAATAGATAGAAAGAGGTTTGAATATTGTTTTAAGGGTTAAAGTTGTTTTATGGGTTAAATAATAGTTTGTGAGTTGAATATTGATTTGAATATTAATAAAAAGTGCAGAGGAAAATAAGTTCAATAATAATCATTATCGAAAATGATGTAATGTGGAAAAAGATTAAACAACGCTAATTCACGTTCATAAAAGACTATCATTGTTGCATTAGTTAGCTGAATTATAGTTAATGCAATATTTTATAGGTGAAACACATGTAAGTAAATTTTTTAAAGCAATAAACTAAAATAAACGATTTGTTTTGAAAATTGGCTTTATCAACAGTTTGAAAGTTGAAGAAGGATACCATGTCGAACATAGAAGAGTATTTTATTTTAAGTAATGAAGATTTTAAAATTATTGAAAATGTAAATGAAATGTTAAATGATATGCACATGTATAAATTTCAAGAATTATCAAAAAATGATTCAAATTCTTTTTTCATTATGCAAAGTACTTTGTATTTACAAATGCTTGATTTAATTGTTCCAATTAGAGAAAGAGTTAAACATATTCAAATAGTTTTTAGCGGTAATAACAATTCTGGGCATTGGATTTGTGTTTATTACGATGGAGTAAGACTTTATATTTTTGATAGCCTTAATGCAGGGTGTTTGAATATTCAACAAATAGAATATTTAATTAGATTGTTCCCTTTTAAACCAACAGAATTTTTTGTAGATGTTGATCAACAACCGATTGGTACAGTTAAGTGTAAAGTATAATGCAATAGCATTTGCAACATCTGTATTGGTTAACAGTGTAAATTAAAAGATTAATTTATGAACCTGATAATAATATAATGAGCAAGCATTTGATATCATTTTTTGAAAACAATTAATTAAATAATTTTCCGGCAGTTAGAATGTCTAATATTAGGATTTCGATTTGTAGAGAATGATTGGAATTGTCTTTTCATAAATCGAGCTAAAGAAGTTCAAAATGGTGAACTAAACCTTTCATATTTTTTAAAGACTTTTCCCAGTAAAAATGACAACAGAGTTCTGTCTACTGAAACTGAGAATGAAAAGAAAATACCCAAAGAAAAAAGTTTGTCCTGAAAGATGAAGAAATTATCTACAGAAATTGAAGAGGGATTTACATGTTGATGTAAATTCAGTATGCACAACAGAAAATAAAAAGAAAATAATTTCAAGTCTTATTGTTAGGGAAAATTTTGATCCTATGACATATCTTACAATGTTTCCTTATGGTGATCCTGGATGGACTGTTAACCTTAAGCATACTCAAGGTACTTGTAATTTTATTCATTTACAATTTTATATGTATCGTCTTTCATAGAGAAGAAAAAAGCGTGGATTGACACATGTGCGTTTAACTATTTGTTTACGTACACAAATTTGCGATTCAGAAACTTTAAATAAAATGATATGTGCTGAAATCACAGACGAAATAAAGAATCCAGAACTTTTTAACATTGTAAAGCGATTTTAAGTTCATGGGCCTTGTGGTAAACAAAATAGGAATTCACCCTGCATGGATCCTGAGATGGGTCATTTAATTGTATTGCTGACAATTCGACGATCGTAGCATTATATAATCTTTATTTGAGTACAAAATTTAAAGGTCATATTGACTGGGCAATAATAGGTATTATATTATTATAACACCATAATGTTGAAATAGTAATACAGTAACGATTACAAAAATAATATTATTATTTTTGTGAGATCAAAATTCCAAAAAGTGTCCGTCAAATAAAAATAAATTTTTAATTTTTCATAAAAAATTGCAGATATCTCGCGCGTTTACGCGCGTTTCTTTTAGCTAGTTTTTGTATATAAAGGGAAATCTTTCCCATGGAGGACAGTCAAAATCAGTATCAATATCAGTATCAGTTGTGAAGCAGTTTAGTTCGACGAATATATACATATATATATACATAAGTGTCGGCAGTATCTACAGTTACAAAAAGTCATTCATAAGTGCTATAAAAATACAAGTGTTCAGCAATTAAAGAAAAAGGGTCAAAGAACTTAGTGAAATACAGAAAATACGGTCCAGAAGTTCCAGTGAAAATTCTGTCATAAAATTTTTACGAGCGACCTTTTAACATCTGACATAGAAGATCTTATCTGACGTTGAGTGGTCCAGCTGTCGAAACACCAATAAAAGACTCGAGGTAAACAAGAACCCAAATCTTATAGGAAGGAATATTTGATAATTGTTTCTCAACCATTAAATAATTAAAAGCATAATATTTTCTTTTAAATAAACTTTTATATTTTGTTTATTAATAAATAGTTTTATTAAATAAATAATATTTTTTGACCATTCATTTAATACCTCTTCCCAACTTAATTTATTTAATTAAGTTAAATTGAGGAAACAGATTAGGGAATAATTATAAGTTCATTAGATTAGGAAAATTTAATAATATTTAAAAATTTCAAATTTAAATTTTAGACATAACATAATATTATATTGTTACGAAACACAATGAACTCTATACATCTAAATGTTTTAAACACTTTTTGCGAAAAAATGGACTAAGTTAAAAGTATATTTTAATATTCGTAATTACAATTTACTTCGGATGGTATAAAATTTACACTGTAAATAATGAATTTCAATATCACGTTTTACATTTTGCACAGCTAATTGTTGTGCAAAAACCTTTTAAATTTGCTTTCAAAATAGTTCAATTCGTTATTCAAAATTGTTTTTTAGGGTAAATTGAAATTCTTGTGATAAATTTTTCCGATTTTTTCGAAATAGTAAAAGTTATTCTAAAAATAATAATTTTTAATACATGGTTGCCAAAGGTCAGAGAAATCTGGGAAATGTCAGGGAATTTTATCAGAATTATTAGCAAAATATCAAATTTCTAAAATTTCTACAAAAATTATCGTCCACAATGTACTGTAAAACAAAAACTTTTATATTGTCAGTCAATAATTGACTTTTACAATAACTTTCTGCAAAACTATAATTATAAATAACTCGGAAAAGATTTTAGTTTAAACAGTTGCAATTTTCATAATTAATTGAATTTCAGAAGGTAAAATCTTATATTCATCAAATATTGGCAAAATTCTTGGAATAAAGAAATAAAAGTACAGTTAAAATAATTTATTACTTTATTTGAAATATCCCTTCCTTACCTAATGTTACAAGAAAAAATTATTGTGATCCCTGAGATAGATTTGGGCGAAAGTTACTCAAAATGTAATCACGGGTTGGACATTTTAATTTCACTAAAACGTTACTGTAATTTTAGTAAAAACAAATATTATCATAGTACTTGGGTAATATTTTGTCCTACTGGGATATATAAAAAATAATCCACGAGAGAACTTGCATGGGGAAAAAAAAGTAAAAGTACTCTGCAAATTATTTTTCTTTTTTCAGAGTATATTGTTATCTAAAATTGAACTGCGCTCTCGGAGTTTCAATGAAAATTCTACATTGGAATTAGACGAACTCAGATGTCGAAATTTCGACATTCGAACTAGGCGAAAATATTTAAACAGTTCTGTTCGAATTATTTTGCACACTTTTAATTATTAGGTTTTGTACGAAATGATTAAAATAATGGATTTTCATAGAAAACAATTTAAATAATCTTTTTATTACCTTTTACGATTCTCATACTTTTATCTTGTACAAAAAAGAAATTAAAAATTACGTACTTTAGAGATATTCAAATAACTACTATCATTTTGACGTTTGCGAAAGTTCAAGGTTTGAGATACATAAATGTAAAAATGTAGATTTTTTATCTAGATACATGTGCGAATTTTTGAATTTAATCATTTTCAAAACTGTAGTGTTATCAACCATTTATATTTCTCAATCACAATTTTTTAACCTTTAGAGGGCCGGCATTTTTTAATTGAAAATCACCATGTTATAAATTGAAAATTTGACTACTTATGAAGTCAATATAAGGTAGAAAAAACCTGACACCGGAACTGGCCACTATAGTGGCCACCCCGGCCCTCTGGAGGTTAAGAAATGTTCTAGTTTTTTAGCGATGAATAAATAAAAATTACATAATTTCCATTTGTTACTTCTAAAAAGATTGAACAATTATTAACCTTTAAACTGATTTAGCGATCTGACAGACCGCTATTAAAACTTTCATCGCTTATAACTTTTTTTTAAAGTACAATAAGAACTTGAGCTTTTCAGTAGCTTCATATTTTATGAAAATCTGTTAGATAACCATTGTTTCAAAATTTTTTAATCGTTAAATTTTATATAATAAATAAATATTCAAAGTATAGCAGTCTGTGAGACCGACATTAGCAGTAAGTGTAAGTAAATTCCCGTAAGTAAGGTCTGCGCATGTTGACGCGCACCTAGTTTTGACTGTCATTATAACCTGCAATTATTGTTTTGATGGTTTCGTGATGTTGTAAATACGTGCGTTTAAAAATGTAAATATTTAATTATTTATAAATAATATATAATAATATAAACAATATTTATTAAGTTGTTATTGGCGGAGTTCTTGACAATGTCACGGAAAAGTTCAAAGGTAAGTTTATGATGAACTATTTTTCAAATAGAATCAGAAAAATATTTGAAACAAAATTTTTGTTCGAAAAAGATTTTTAAATCGAGTGATGAGGAATTCAGTGATGATCAGGGTGATGATTTTGACTCTGACTCTGATGTCGACTATGTTACAGAATCAGAACACAATACTGACACTGAAGAAGAAGGCGAGACAAACTACTCAGATGAAGAAGAAGAAAAAGATCCTGAAGGTTATGTCGGTCAAGGGAAAACATGTGATTATTTTTGGAGTACAAAAGAACCAAATTCGAAAAAGAGAACGCCTCATCATAACATTATTTTAAAAGTTCCAATGTTGAAATCATCGGCTTCAGAATTAGGCGAGACTCCAGATTGTTTGAAAGTATGGGAATTGTTTTTTGATAAATATATTATTGATAAAATTGTTCTCTACACAAATCAAAAGCTAAATAACACAAGGGAACACTTATCTCGAATTTATCAAGATCGTGATAAATTTAAATCTCCTAGCTATTTGAACGACACCTCTGTTGTTGAAATTAGAGCTTTTTGTGGACTTCTTCTTCTAACATCTATTTATGGTTCTGCTCATGAAAATGTAGAGTCTCTGTTTTCTACTGATTGCTTAGGACGACCAGTATTCAGTGCTACAATGTCGCCACGAAGATTTGCATCTTTATCGACTAATTTACGTTTCGATGATTCTACAACTCGTTCTGACAGAAAAAAAGCTGACCCAACAGCTGCAATTTCCGAAATTTTCCAAAACATTATTGATAATTGTCAAAAAGTATACAATGTGGGAGCTTATGCTTGTATAGATGAAATGTTGTTAGCTTTTCGAGGTAGATGTCCATTTAAAATATATATGCCAAATAAGCCTGCGAAATACGGAGTAAAAATCATGTGTCTCACTGATGCTCGAAATTCGTATTTGTACAATGCTTATATTTACTGCGGAAAAAATAGTGATTCACAAGGCTTGACTCCTGAAGAAAAAAAATTTTTTGAAACCAACTCAATCTGTTTTACGTCTCAGTAAACCATTTTACAAATCGAACCGTAATATAACTGCAGACAATTGGTTTTCATCCGTTGAAGTCGTTCAAGAACTGAAGAAAAATGGACTAACGTATGTAGGCACTGTAAAGAAAATAAAAAATAGATACACTGAGAGAAGTTAAATACAGATTTCGTACTAAACACACGTTCAGATAGTGTACCTAACCTTTCGAGCAACATCGGTTCTAAATTGTATCGCAGCTGCGCTTTTTGGTGGACAGATACTGTACTAAATCGTTTGTCCCACAAGTTAGATCAGAATCAGTACTCAATTAGCGCTGCTGCTGTTCGATTTTAGTACTGCGTCGACACATGATTGATGTACAATATCTGTCCCTCAAAAAATGCAGATGTTGCGTTAAACTTCTCTCAGTGTACCTAAAGAATTTCTCCCTTCCAAAACCAGACAAGTTCAATCATCTCTTTTTGGACATTCAGAAGATGGAGTATTGTTATCTTATGTACCAAAACGCAACAAAGCTGTTTTGATCATTTCCTCGATGCATTCATTTTCTGATGCTGATCAAAACAATAACAATCTTCCAGAAATGATCTCGTTTTATAATTTGACAAAAGGAGGAGTTGATTCTATGGACCTCAAATGTGCAATTTATAAATCAAGCAGGCGCACAAGACGTTGGCCAATGGCAGTTTTTTTTAGATTGTTAGATGTCAGTGTGTCAAATGCATTTATTCTATACAATTGTTATAAAAATCCGTTGAAATTAAGTCGTCGAAAATTCATAACAAATGTAGCAATGAGTTTAATTCTTCCCCATGTGAAAACCAGACAAACAGACCGTTTACCAAAAAATGTTAGAAACATGATCAAAATAACTCTGAAGGTTAAAGCTCCGGTAAATGCTCAGGAATTAAGCGATAAATTGAATGTCAGAAAAACTTGCACTCTGTGTGATTATAAATTGAAACGTAAAACTGCTTACAAATGTGCTGAATGTAATACACCTGTTTGTCTTCAATGTTCTTTAAAAGTTTGCGTACACTGTTTGAAAGGAACACCCGATAATACGCTTGATACTACGCAGCATGACAGTAATAACAGTTCATTCTAAAAGAAACCCAGTAAAATCTCGGATATATTAATATGTAATATTAATATTTTAAAATATTTTAATTAAATATTAACTCGATGCTGTGATTCGTAACTTAAAGCAATTAATTAATGTAATTTATGTGTAAAAAAAATGTTATTGAAAAAAAACAGCATTCTAAATTATGTAAAAATAAAAAAATTAAAACGAAACAATATAGAAATTGACTTTTTAATCATAAAAAATAAAAAATATATACAACAATTGACTTTACAAAATTTAAAATCAATAAAATAACATAAAAAAGGAATAGCGGTCTGACAGACCGGTGAAATCAGTTAGTGTGATTTTTCGGCACGTATCAGTTTAAAGGTTAATCAAAATTTTAATTTTAAATATTATTAAAAGAAGTAAAATAATTTTGCATAATTTCTTATTGTTTGATCACGATCTTTAAGAAATATGTATGTAATAAATGTTTTGGCACAATTAACTAATTTGTCCTTTAATAATTTTTTTAAAATTTAATAATATAAATAAATGAGAACATTAATTGTATATTTTTAAAACATGATCAACAGTATTATGAAAATAATTGACTTAAAATACCTATTTGTATTTTGAATAACATACGATGACATGCGACAGATAAAGACAAACACGTTTGTAGCCAGCTCGTACGGCACAGCACGACACAGCGCAACGTATTGCACTGGATTGGCTCGCGCCATGTATTAGTGTGCGGGCGGCTTGTCTGTGAGACGTATCTGGCACCCAGCACCGACAATCCTTGTGCGAGCACCTTTATAGTTCTTAACGCCGTTTAAAGGCGATTATTTTAAATTTCTTTATTCCTATTTTTTTTATTTATTTTTTAATTTATTTATTTATTTTTATTTATTAAAACAAACAACAAAAAAATTATATATTACTTTTGTTAGTTTTGTCCTCTAACCTATTTCTTAATTATTACTATGAATGTCATTTATTCAATTATTCCATTATTTAATTAATTTATAAAATAAAACAATCCCATTGAAATAATAATTAATTGGTAATAAAAAAAAATATTATCAATTACATTCAAGTTTATAATTTCTTATTTTCCTTTTTTTTTTAGTATGATGAGTTCCCCTACTTCCTGCACCAGCGACTTAGAGTTTATTTCCCTCACCCGTCGTGAGGACATTGTTTGGCCCGAAGTGGACCTTGATTCCTCTTGTAGTGAAGTTAGTGAAGCCTCTACTTTACCCCTTACCAATACTACCCATAAGTGCCTAAAACTACCATTAATAATTAAAAAAATATATTTTTCGTACCTCTTTTTTTTATCTATGTTTTTTTTTAGCAGCCCAAAGTGACATACCCGACACACCTGCTTCCCCCGATCCCGCGTTTGAGGCGTATTTTGACGCCCATGCCCAGCCTTATAGCCCAGGTTAGTAGCCCAAAAAAAAATATATTTAAATTATAGAAAAAAAATGACCTATATATTATAATGTCCCTGATTTCAATTGTCTATATCTTTTTTTTCTTATTATTTAGCCCCACAACCTACTGGTGTTAGGACCCTCGAGGCTTGCCCAAAGCGGGACAGCTCAACTCAGACCAACTCATATTTTCCGGACGGGCTTCCTTTAGAAGGTATTAAATTATTTTTATTTGAGACGGAATAATTTGTTATTAAGAGAAATATATTAAAATAAAAAATAAATGATCAAAGTTAAAATTATTCCTCACCCAGCGCGACCGGGTTCAGAGTTGCTGGGGCTCTATTTGACAATATAAAATAAAATAATGATTTTAGTTGCACGCGGACGCCAGTTAATTTATTAATTAAAATTAACAAAAGACTTGGATCACAGGGAGGGAAGTTGGTGAACCCAAATACAAAATATAAAAATAAAATATTAAGCGACTTCCAGGAATATTTAATTTATTACAAAAGATAAAATAAAAGTTCATTAACCACTTACTTGAATGATCGAATATGATCAAATATCGACTCTTCCACCTTTCATTCAATAATGCGATAATACGCTTTGATAATGTTGATCCTTCAGTCAATACAATTTCTAATATTCAACAGATCAAACGACTCAATACAATTTAGTAAAATCAAACAAGGAGATATACTCCAGCACACAACAAGACGTACGGACAAAGAGTGAGAAACGGGCCCGACGATTTTCGGCAATGCGCCAATATATTGAACTATTGGCGCTTAGATCGATGTAAGGTCACAGAGGCGAGTTATTGACCTTTTTTCCCTAACCCTTATCCGAAGATATTTGATCATTTATTTCTCAAAATAATGGCAAGAAATATTTTCCCGTCACATTCTCCCCCTTCGGACATGACGTTAGTCTGAGAAAGAAAACTGAATCTGAAATAACTCAAACAATCTGTAAATAATATCATTAACAAAACATTTTATAAAAATAAACAAATAAAATAATAAATGAAAGTGATTAATGTCTGAAAAGAAATAACTAGTTGTCATGTTTGATTCTAAATTTATTTCAAGAAAAACAATTCCTGGAAGTTTCCTAATAATTGTTTGTCGATTTTTAATTTCTTTATTTATTGAAAAGAACTTACGTCGTAAATTACAATTAAAATAACAAAAATAAAACTTTCCTTTTAAGAAGGGTACAACAAAGTAATACTATTTTTGGTTCAGATCAATAAGTCATAAATGTAAATTAACCCTTTAAGGACCAAATGTACAAAAATTTTACCTGAATTTTGGCAATTTTTTTAACTAACAAAACGCATTAAGAAAAAATTCGCAATATACATTTCTTATGGTCCATGAACCGCTCTTTCAGATGGTGCATCTGAAAAAACCGTAAATTGAAAATTAAACAAATTACAGATAATTGTTTATAAAAAAACACGAATTTTCAAGGTTTTTTTTTTACTTTAGAATTTTTTTGGACCATGTACCATTTTAGAATATCTTCGCCAGGTACAAATAACGCGTCAAAAATGTTCGCCCTTTGACATGGTGGCATAGATTTTAATAAAAAACTAAATGTCAAAAAAATATTGTTAATTAAAGTTGACATTTTAATAACAAAAAGGCAGCTATTGTCAAACAATTTAAAAACTCATCGGATCCTCTCGAAAATTGTTACTCGGGGGTTTTCGGGCTCGCTGATTACGAATCTGAAGTCGATTTTCAAAAATTCAAAATGGCGGATCCAATATGGCGGACGTCAAAATGAAAAACTCATCGGATTCACTCGAAAATTGTTACTCGGGGGTTTTCGGGGTCGCTGATTACGAATCTGAAGTCGATTTTCAAAAATTCAAAATGGCGGATCCAATATGGCGGACGTCAAAATGAAAAACTCATCGGATTCACTCGAAAATTGTTACTCGGGGGTTTTCGGGGTCGCTGATTACGAATCTGAAGTCGATTTTCAAAAATTCAAAATGGCGGATCCAATATGGCGGACGTCAAAATGAAAAACTCATCGGATTCACTCGAAAATCGTTACTCGGGGGTTTTCGGGGTCGCTGAGTACGAATCTGAAGTCGTTTTTCGAAAATTCAAAATGGCGGATCCAATATGGCGGATGTCAAAACAAAAAACTCATCGGATTCACTCGAAAATCGTTACTCGGGGGTTTTCGGGGTCGCTGAGTACGAATTTGAAGTCAGATTTTCAAAATTTTTATAATTCAAAATGGCGGATCAAATATGGTGGACGAAAAATTAAAAATTCATTGGATTCACTCGAAAATCGTTACTCGGGGGTTTTTGGGGTCGCTGATTACGAATCTGAAGTCGTTTTTCGAAAATTCAAAATGGCGGATCCAATGTGGCTGTAAAATGTTCAAGAATTCATCGCAGACGATTGAATTATTTGTATTTAGTTATTTTTTATTATTTTTTATTTAGTTAATTTTTTTTTAATTTT